TATAGTATCATAGTATCATCAAATTAGCCTTCTAAGAACACAGAGCCAGACTCATCATTCCTTCCATCATCTGGGAACCCCCCAAATACAAGATTTGGTAGCTGAGCCAAAATCCTGCTCCAGGCTGACACCCAGCCCTGCTCCCCACCAGGCACCCATCACCTGCTGCTTCATCCACTGAGAGCTCGTTGGCCAAAATGCCTCCAATCTTGCTGAAGGCAGGCAGCTGCAGCCCATACTTCTCCAGCTCCAGCTTCATGTTGTTGATCTCCTCCTCTGGAGCAGAGCAGAGGCAGCACTGCTCAGCACCAGCCTCATAGCCCAGTACTGGAGCAGGGGCAGCCAGCAGAGCCCCCACTCCCCTGCCAGACTAAGAGGGGTGCAGAAAACCCCCACAATGGGGGTTTTGCCAAAACTGAGGCCATTTTGGCAAAACACATCCAAGACTTTCACTCCACACATCCCCTCCTGCCACGGGACCCCAGAGCACTGGTGGCAAACCCCCCTTGGCAAGGCCCAGCCCAGGTCTCCCTGCACATACCTGTGAAGTTCACTTTCCCATACAAGTCCTGGATCGGAGGAGCCAGCCCCAGCTTGAAGAGGTAGAAGCTGAAATACAAACCCACATGGGTGACATCCCTCCTGACACTTCATGGTGACATCCCATGAGAGCCAGGCCAGGGCACCCACCTGAGGGCATGGATGCAGTAGACCACCCGGGGCATGTTCTTCTTGTCATAGATGTCAGTGGTCTCTGGGTGGAAGATCTGCCACCAAGACACGAACACATCAGGGGCAAAGACAAAGCCCCCCTGCCATACCAGCACCCCCCAGCAGTGCCACAAGGCAAAGGGCAGTGTGCCAGTGGCTGGGGAGGGAAGAGGGGAGGTGTTACCGAGGGAAGCCCCACGTGGCTCATGGCATCACGCCAGTAGTTGATGTTATCCGTGTGCCGAAAGTGAAGCCCAGCTGTCTGGAAGAGAGGAGCTGAGGTCAGGCTGAACACCAACTTCTCCAGGCCTGGGGTCCCCCTTGCCCCCAGAGCAACCCAGCCAAAGCAGGAGGTCAAAGACAGAGGCAATGCCTTTGATCTCCAGCTCAGGGAACCCATAGCAGCCCCCCTTACAGAGCAGTCCCTCAGTGACTGCTGTCTGTCACAGACATCTTTTATGAAAAATCCTTTCCTTAGGGTTTTTCCTCCTGAGAAACTGAGAGGCCTCAGGAACAACATGTAAACATTGATTATCTGCTGCTGTGGAATGCAACAGGTGCATCTGTGACTGGCCCATGTTGGATGTTTGTAATTAATGGCCAATCACAGCCCAGCTGGCTCGGACAGGGAGCCCAAGACACAAACCTTTGTTATCATTCCTTTCTATTCTATTCTTAGACAGCCTTCTGGTGAAATCCTTTCTTCTATTCTTTTAGTATAGTTTTAATGTAATATATATCACAAAATAATAAATCAAGCTTTCTGAAACATGGACTCAGATCCTCATCTCTTCCCTCATCCCTGGACCCCTGTGAACACAGTCACAGCTGTCAATGAGTCCTTCCTCACTCTGCACTCACCAGCAAGGGAAAGGGCTGGGGCTACACCCTAAGGGGTACTACACCTTCCTCTGGTGCCACAGCCTTACCTTGTACCGTGTCTGTTCAGGGTCGTAGATCTTCTTCAGTGGGACAACAGCAGGGGCAAAGCAGTGGCCCAGCTTGGCCAGGAGGACCCCGTTGCGCAGGGTCTCCTCCAGCTCCGTGGGTGGGGGCAGCCCCTCACCCAGACAGGCTTCCATCCAGCTGGCAGGGCAGGGACAGGGCACGTCACAAACCCCAAAGGATGTCCCCCCTCCAGACAAATTCTGTTAAATCCTCCCTGGCAGGAGAGCTCAGCCTTCAGGCCCTTGCTGCTGGGTGGTTTTTAGTTTGGGTGGAGGGTTGAGTATCCCCCCACCAAAACACACAACCCTCCCAGCCAGCTTTGAGGAGCCATAAAGGCACAGGATCCAAGCAGCATTCTGCAGGATAAGCCCCAGGACAGGATTCCTTGATAATCCCATCACACCTCACTGAGCTTCATCACCCAAAACCCACTGGGCTCGCTCAGGATCTCAGAACAGCCCTAAAATTCAACATAACCCTAAATCCTGCCTTGAAAAGGAACAACTTCCCTCAGCTGCTCCCTAAAAACTCCCCTAAGAAATCTCTGCTTTTTAAAAGCTAAGCCACTCCCCACCCCTTCCCTCTGTCCTTCCCCTTACCACCCCCTTTCCCCCCAAGATGTGAGCTCGAGGATCTCCCCAAGTGCAGCCCCACCGCTTGGCTTCCTCCAGGTGACACAGGTACTGGTAGGCAACGTTCTGCCTCCTCTGTTCGTCCATCTCATCGGCAGTCAGGCGCTCACCTGGGCACAAAGGAGGTCTCCCATCAGAGCCCCCTGCTCAGGGAGGCTTTTTGAAGCCCCCATGGCCACTGAAACTAAGATTTGAGAAAGGCAGCCAGGTTTCGGGTGCAGTAGCCTCCCACAGCCGTCGTGGGAGTGGCACCAACGTCACAGTTGGCAGCCCTTGTGGCAGTGGAAGGAAAGTTTCCAATTTCCCTTTTTCCCAAATAACGGCCATCAGAGCTGGCACTGGAGTGGGGGAGGGCACAGAGCAAGCATTCAGGGGAACACAGCTACAGGTTTGGGGTCCTTTTACACTGCTGCTGGTGCTGGAGGCACCCATGACTTCTGGGGGACACCCGGCTGCCTCCCAACAAACCATCCCTCAAAATATGTCCCCCCCAGTTTGTCCCCAAGGGCCTGGCACCTTGCCACTACCATCCCTCTACCCACATGCAGACCTGCCCGTTCCCCCTGCACCCCTAAATCCGACTGCTGCCCCCATCCCTCTGCACAGCCGGAGCCCCTGTCCCCATGTGCACCCACACCTGTCCCCACACTCCCCTGGCCCCCAGCCTTACCTGTCCCCTCACATTCCCCTGCACCCCAAACCTGTCTGTTCCCCCATCCTCTGCCCCCCAGCCTTACCTGTCCCCCCACATTCCCCTGCACCCCAAACCCGTCTGTTCCCCCATCCTCTGCCCCCCAGCCTTACCTGTCCCCCCACATTCCCCTGCACCCCAAACCCGTCTGTTCCCCCATCCTCTGCCCCCCCAGTCTTACCTGTCCCCACATTCCCTTGCCCCCCCCAGCCTTACCTGTCCCCACATTCCCTTGCCCCCCCCAGCCTTACCTTTCCTCCCCCAGCTCGCTGCACCCCAGACTTGTCCCCGTCCCGTCCCCTGCACCCCGGACATTCCTGCTCCCTTCATCCTTGTGCCCCCCGGTGCCGGTGCTGGTCACTCACAGCGCCCCTGCCCCGCTCCCTCCATGGCCGCGGTGGCTCCGGTGGCTCCGCCCGAGGTTTGAATCTCCCGCCGCCCACGTGATTCCGCGCGGGGGCTGCCGGGCGGGACAGCGGAACAGGGGGACAGCGGAACGGCGGAACAGAGGGACAGGGGGACAGCGGGACACCGGGACAGAGGGACAGAGGGACAGCGGGACAGGGGGACAGCGGGACACCGGTACAGCGGAACACCGGAACAGAGGGACAGCGGGACAGGGGGACAGCGGGACAGAGGAACACCGGAACAGAGGGACAGCGGGACAGGGGGACAGCGGGACAGAGGAACACCGGAACAGAGGGACAGGGGGACAGAGGGACAGCGGAACACCGGGACAGAGGGACAGGGGGACAGCTGGACAGGGGGACAGAGGGGCAGCGGAACAGAGGGACAGGGGGACAGCGGGACAGAGGGACAGCGGAACAGAGGGACAGCGGGACACCGGGACAGCGGGACACAGCGGGGAGCGGGACAGCGGGACACCGGGTGTTGCCGCCACTTGGGGCATGGCGTCCCGGGTCGAGGACGGTTCTGTGGCGGCGCCTCTGCCACACAGGCCAAGCACATGCATACACCAATGTGGTGGACAGTAGCTGGCCCTTATTAATGGTTGGTCAGGGTCTTTTACAACCGGGGGGTGACGGTCAGTAACAGTAAAAAGGGAGGGGTTCTGCGTGATCTCGCGATATTTCCCCACATTTCCCCCCCTTTTATGACCAGTTAAAAACATAGAGCAAAACTGACAAGTAGGAAACGTGTAACTGGCAAGATGCAACTAACTTGAACACCATAACACAACTGCAATAAACTTGTAACAAACGGAAAGCTAACTATCTCTAACTGGGGTTTTTTTTGTTTGTTTGTTTGGGGTTTTTTTGTTTTTCTTTTTTTTTAAAAATACCGACACAAACTTGTTTAAAATGTAAGGTGACAAGTCATGGTGCTGGGTGCTGACTGAACCCTATCTTTGAATACTTTGAATATCTTTGTAGGACCTCCTCAGTTTGTTTTTTGTTTTTTTTTTGTTTTTGTTTTAGTTGACCTCCTAGGACCGAATTATTTTTCCCAGAGTCTGCGACCTGTTTGATCTTAAATTAGAGAGGATTTGGAGAGTCCATGTCCGGACTTATGTTCCCTCCAAATCGCCCTTTGATCCTTTGACACAGGGAAGAACTCTGGGTTACCTGGCATTCCATCCAAGTAGAGCCAGAACCTGGCCAGAGCTCGAACTCTACTTGCTGGATACCTCTTTACATTTTTGCTGAGCTGTTTTTTCCCCCCCTGTCCTTCTCTGTGCCGGCCGCTCCTTTAGTTTGGTCACTGAGTTCTTTCACAACCCTGGTATGGTCTGCCATCAGGCTGCTTGATGATTCGTTGCAGCCTTTAGGAAGCAGGGCATACAGGTCACGGGGGTGTCTGAGGATTCAGTCCTGCAAAACAAACTTCATAAATTTCATTAGTTTTTACCCTGAAGGTCTGGTTTTATCGACTTAAGTGGGCACCATTTGATCTTATTATTTTTCTTAACGGCTGCGTACCCTCGCCCTGTGAGTACCAGTCTCCAACCCTGTTCCCATTCCCCTAGTTCATTTTTAATTATGACCTGTGAGCCTTCCTCAAGTGCTCGGGTGGCCCAGTGTCACAATGTTAAGGTGTTCTTCTGGCCAGAAAGATCTGTTCACTGTATAGTTTGCTAAACAGTAGGCTGCTGCAGCAATTTGTGAAGGAAGGTACTCCAGAGGAGGATCAACTTGAAGGAGACTCAGCTCTGCAAGATACCTTGCAAAGTTCTCTGTCCTCATACAGATTCCATGTCTCTGAATATACTGAAGGAGGAACTGGCTGACGGTTGGGGCTGTTAGGTCAAAACCCAGCACTCTGAGAAGCAAGTGTTCTGTTCTTAGCAGCTGCTTCTTTGTGTAGGTATCATCTGTTATATAGACAAATCCATCCACATCTGGTGGGTAGATCTCTTCATACTTTGCAGCCAGAAGAATTGCTGCTGTTGCCACAAGCTGTAACTTCCCTCTGAGAGCAGACATGCAGGAAAGAAACCTCTCCAGGAAGTTCCCTGCCAAGTACAAAGTCTCTGTCCAAAGTTTATCCAGTTCACAGTGGCTTAATTCCAGCTCTTCAGACACTTGGCAGCTGTAGTTTTCTTTATCTTCTGAATCATCTATGTAGACAGCAAAAGCTTGCTTTGATGCAGCACTGATGATGCAGTTGGGCACTTCATCTTTTCTACATGAAGTGATGGTGTTTTCAAAGCCAGAGAAGCGCTTGATAACAGCAGCACCCTGGCCGCCGGGCCGCTGCTGCTGCTGCCCGTTGTCTGTCAGCACCCCCAGCACAGCCCAGCCGCCGCTGCTGCAGAGGGCGGCGGGGCAGGACTCCCGCCGCGCCGCACGGCTCTTCTCTCCGGTGCGATGCATCGCCCTGACGTCGGTACCGCACTGCCCGGCTCCGCTCGCCACCAGCCCACGGAAGGGTCCGGCCGCCCTGTGCCGCCCAGGCTGCCCGCCGGCCCTGTGTAAGCGCGGCCGCTGGAGGCGGCGGCTCTTGGCCGCGGCCAGTTGGGAGCCCGGCAGCTCAACCCCCGGCGTGCCGCCCCGCCAGCCCCACCGGCCGCGGGCTGCCATGGTGACCCCCTCCCTCTGGGGCTCATCACCCTGTGGCACATGAGGCGAAGGCCCCGTCCAGGCTCCCTTGGAGTCTGAATCAATGGCGGCACCCCCCGACTCCCAGCTAACGGTGGGGCCCTGCGGCCCCGAGATAACGGTGGGGCTCCGCGCCTCTGAACCAACGGCCGTGCTCTGCGCCTCTGAACCAACGGCCACACTCTGCGCCTCTGAACCAACGGCCGCACCCCGCACCTCTGAACCAACGGCCGCACCCCGCGCCTCTGAACCAACGGCCACGTTCCGTGCTTCCTTTAGCAGCCCGTCCCAAAACGACAGCTTTTTCCCCGTAGATGGGGTACCTGGGCTCGGGAGCTGCGAAGAGCACTCCCACGGCTGTGAATCCCCACACTCAGCGGACCCACGATCGTCCACACCCTGCTGGGGCCCCTCCCACAAGCAGTCCTGGGTGGCCTTCCACTTTCCCTGCTCCCGCTGGACTGGCCGAGCTTTTTTCAGTGCACGCATGACCCTGCCCCATGATTTTAGACTCTGCCCTGAGCCTGAGGACATAGCCTCCTCCACTAGGGCCCCAGTACAATTATCCCATACCTCCAGGTGGAAGATATCCTCCGGATGCCTGATCACCCCAGCGCACAGGAGCCTCGACACTGCGAGGACAAAATCACCTGGCTCACAATCTATGCCCCAGTCTCTGTGAATTTTAAAAATGACCTTAACAAGGGGCTCCATCCTCTCCACTGCTGGCTACCGACGCGAGACTTCCTCCTTCACCAGGTCCTGGCGCGAGACTTCCTCCTTCGCCGCTCCTGGTGCGAGCCCTCCTCCTTTGCCGAATGCCAGCAGGAGACCCTTCCCTCTTGCTGGTCCTCTGGGAACGTCCTCCCCGCCGGAGACAGTCCTGCTGTTCCGGCCGCCGTCCACTCGCCCAGGCGATTCCCGCTTCCTGGATTGTTCCCGGGTTTTGGCACCACTTGTTGCCGCCACTTGGGGCGTGGCGTCCCGGGTCGAGGACGGTTCTGTGGCGGCGCCTCTGCCACACGGGCCAAGCACATGCATACACCAATGTGGTGGACAGTAACTGGCCCTTATTAATGGTTGGTCAGGGTCTTTTATAACAGGGGGTAACGGTCAGTAACAGTAAAAGCGGAGGGGTTCTGTGTGATCTCGCGATATCTCAAGACCTCGTGATATTTCCCCATAGATGAGTGTTGTTTTCTGTGTGCTTTTGTTGTTTTGGGTTTCCTGTAACAATAAACCAACATGTAATGAAAATAGAACAAGGTTATCGCCTTGTGTTAATGTGTGTGTTGTGTTGTATTGCTCTGTATTGCAGGGTGAGCACAGGCTGAGCAATACAGAGCAATCCAGAGCAATACAACACCACACACCCATTAAAGGTGAACTCTCTCCTCCTTGCTGTGACACCTGGGCTGGCAGGGATGACACAGTGACCTCGGCCAGCCCATGCTGCCTGTGCCATCACCTGGCACTGACGTGTTTGATGAAAATCCTTTCGCTGGGATTTTTCTCCTGAGAAGCCTCAGAACAGAAATGGAACCAGTAACGACATGCTGGCTGTGGAGTGTGGGCTGGAGATGGTTTAGCAACAGGGGCATCTTGGATTGGTCTCCTGTGCATTGTTTCTACTCGATGACCAATCATGGTCCAGTGGTGTCGGGGCTGTGAGCAGTCCCAGGTTTTTATTTTTCATTCCTTTCCAGCTTTCTGATGTCTCCTTGCTCTTTTAGTGTAGTTCTACTATCTCATTTTCTTTAATATAATAGAGATCATAAAATAATATTTCAGCCTTCTGAAAGGTGGAGTCAAGATTCTCGTCTCTTCCCTCGTCCTGGGGACCCTCAAACACCACCAGAATCATTGGCTTGAGCGGGTCTGGGCAGCACCAAATGCAATAAAATTAAAAGCTTTAAAAATAGAAAAATTAAATAAAAAATTAAATAAAAAATAAAATTTAAGAAATAAAATAAATGCTTTAAAAATAGAAAAATGAAAAACAAAAATTAAAAAAAAAATTAAGAAATAAAATAAATGCTTTTAAAATAGAAAAATGAAAAACAAAAATTAAAAAAAAATTAAGAAATAAAATAAATGCTTTTAAAATAGAAAAACTAAAAATAAAAATTAAATTTAAAAAATGAAAAAATAAAATTAAAAGCTTTAAAAATAGAAAAAATAAAAAACAAAATTAATTAAAAAATAAAATGAAAAAAACCCAAAAGCTTTAAGAATAGAAAAATTCAAAAATAAAATTTAAAAATAAAATAAAAAGCTTTAAAAATAGAAAAATTAAAAATAAAAATTAAATAAAAAATAAAATAACAAAATTAATTTAAAATAAATGAAAGACAAAATAAAAACTGTAAAGTGCCGTAAAAGTTCCATAAAAGGTAGTGCTGTAATGCAAGACCCTCAAACACCACCACAATCACCAGCTTGAGTTGGTCTGGGCAGCACCAAATGAAAGAAAATAAAAAGCTTTAAAAATAAAAAAAATTAAAAATAAAAATTAAATTAAAAAGCTTTAAAAATAGAAAAATTAAAAATAAAAAGTAAATAAAAAATAAAATTAAAAAATAAAATAAAAAGCTTTAAAAATAGAAAAATTAAAAATAAAAATAAAATAAAAAATAAAATAAAAAAAATAAATGCTTCAAAAATAAAAAAATTAAAAATAAAAATTACACAAAAAATCAAATGAAAAAAATAAAATAAATGCTTTAAAAAAAGAAAAATAAAAAATAAAAATTAACTTGAAAAAATATTTTTAAAAAGCTTTAAAAATAGAAAAATTAAAAATAAAAATTAAATAAAAAATAAATTTTAAAAAATTAAATAAATGCTTTAGAAATAGAAAAATAAAAAAATTAATTAAAAAATAACATTAAAAAACCCAAAAGCGTTAAAATAAAAAAAGTAAAAATAAAAATTAAATTTAAAAAAATTATAAAATAAATGCTTTAAAAATAGAAAAATTTAAAAATAAAAATTAAATTAAAAAAAAGCTTAAAAAATAAAAAAATTAAAAATCAAAATAAAATAAAAACTAAAATTAAAAAAATAAAATAAATGCTCTAAAAATAGAAAAATAAAAACCAAAATTAAATAAAAACTAAAATTAAAAAAATAAAATAAATGCTTTAACAATAGAAAAATTAAAAATAAAAATTCATTAAAAAATAAAATTAAAAAAACTAAAAGCGTTAAAAATAGAAAAATTAAAAATAAAAATAAATAAAAAATAAAATTACAAAAATAAAATAAATGCTCTAAAAATAGAAAAATAAAAAACAAAATTAAATAAAAAATAAAATTAAAAAAATAAAATAAATGCTTTAAAAATAGAAAAATTAAAAATAAAAATTCATTAAAAAATAAAATTAAAAAAAATAAAAGCTTTAAAACTAGAAAAATTAAAAATAAAAGTTAAATAAAAAATAAAATTAAAAAATAAAATGAAAAGCTTGAAAACTAGAAAAATTAAAAATAAAAATTAATTAAAAATAAAATTAAAAAAATTAAATAAAAGCTTTAAAAAAAAATTAAAAAATTAAATTGAAAAAAGTTTTTAAAAGGCTGTAAAAATAGAAAAATAAAAAATAAAAATAAAAAATAAAATTAAAAAATTAATTAATAATTAATGAAAAGCAAAATAAACACCGTAAGTGCTGTGAAGTACTGTAACAGTTCCATAAAAGGTACTGCCGAAATGCACGACTGCCGTAAAAGGGGCCGTAAAGCGCGACTGTTGTAAAAGGGGTCGTAAAGCGCGACTGTCGCAAAAGGGGTCGTAAAGCGCGACTGTCGCAAAAGGGGCCGTAAAGCGCCGCTGTCGTAAAAGGGGCCGTAAAGCGCTGCTGTCGTAAAGGGTGCCGTAAAGCGCGACTGTCGTAAAACTGCCGTAAAGCGCGGCTGTCGCAAAAGGGGCCGTAAAGCGCGACTGTCGCGAAAGGGGCCGTAAAGCGCGACTGTCGCAAAAGGGGCCGTAAAGCGCGACTGTCGTAAAGGGTGCCGTAAAGCGCGACTGTCGCAAAAAGGGCCGTAAAGCGCGACTGTCGCAAAAGGGGCCGTAAAGCGCGACTGTCGTAGAGGGTGCCGTAAAGCGCGACTGTCGCAAAAGGGGCCGTAAAGCGCGACTGTCGTAAAACTGCCGTAAAGCGCGACTGTCGTAAAACTGCCGTAAAGTGTCACTGTCGTAAATGGTGCCGTAAAGCGCGACTGTCGTAAAGGGTGCCGTAAAGCGCGACTGCCACAAAAGGGGCTGTAAAGCGCGACTGTGGTAAACGGCAGTGCTGTAAGGCTCTGGTCGAGGACGCTGCTTCTGCAGCATCGAGGCTGGTGACACACCCGTGTAATGATGGGACAAACTCACTCTGCCCACGACAGAGACCTCTATAAGCAACTAAAGCCTTTCTAAAGTTCCATGCCAAGTCAGTTACCGAAACAGGAGCCAAAAATCCTCTTAGAATGAACTTTATTGAATTTTTCCAATGCTGACAGTTCAGCTGTGTGTACCAGAGACTTTTGGACACAGTTTGTATAAAGCACTTTAATAGCATCTCCCGCTGGGATTTGGCTGCCGGGGAGCTGCTCCCAGCTTGCCGGGCGCTGCTTGAGCTGTGTTTGCCGCACGGGGGATGCCCCCCGCAGCTGCCACGCCGAGCTCCGCCCCTCCTGCGACTCCGCCCCTCGCCGCCGCGAGTCTCCAGCCGGACACGCCCCCCATTTCCCCGTCGGACGCCGCCGCTCCGGTACCCGCGGTCCTGCTCGCCCCTGCCGCCCCGCCCCCCGCCCTCGCGGTCCCGACACCCGCCCCCCGGCCCTGGCCAACCCCCGGCCCCTCCCACCGCTCCCGCATCCCCGCCTTTGCCATCCCGTCGGTCCCGGCTGTCCCGGGCCCCGCCCCTCAATCCCGCCCACCGGCGTCACCGGCCCCGCCCCCTCCTGCCGCCGCCGCTCCCCCCCCCCCCCCGTTCCCCGCGAGTGCGGCCGCTCCCGCCCCCCCCACGTCCCCCTCGCCCCCTTTGCCGACACAGCGGGGCCGGTGCTGGCCCAGGTCCCGTCGCTGCTGCTGCGTCTCTGCAGTTCCCTGCGGCTCCCGGATCTGCGGTGCCGAGCGCTCCTGGCGCGGCCGCGCTGCGCCCCCTGCGGACGCTGCCGCGGGAAGCTCTGCCCCCCCACCCTCGCGTTCCAGTGCACGCCGCACACCCCGAGCTGCCCACGGGCCCCGTGGCAGTGCAAACGCCCCCGGCTGACCCCATCCCTGCCAGCGTTCCGGCGCAATCCCCCGGTCCCGGCACGGCACCGCTTGCGCTGGGACCGGAGCGCCCCAGGCCGCCCAGCCCCCCCGTGCCGGCGCCGCGGCGTCCGCACCGGTGGCTGCAGCCTCTGCCGTGCCTGCCGCCGCTCCAGCGCTGCCTCTGCCGTGCCTGCCGCCGCTCCAGCGCTGCCTCTGCCGTGCCTGCCGCCGCTCCAGCGCTGCCTCTGCCGTGCCTGCCGCCGCTCCAGCCCCGCCTCTGCCGTGCCTGCCGCCCCTGCCCGCCGGACCAGCAGCCACCCCAGCTCCCAGCGGCTGCACGCCGCGGCCCCCCCGCCGCCTCCACGCCGCTCCTCCCGCCGCCACCCGGGATCATCTCCCGCTGACGAGGCCGCCCCGCCGCCGCCCGTGGTCGCTTTCTCGCTCCTGCCGCCGCCGCTCCATGGCGGGCGGAGCCGCGCCTTCCCCAGCGCAGCCCCCCGCTTCAGAGTTGCTGGATAGCGCGGCTCCGCCGCCTCCTGCAACCACGGACGTCCCGGCGTTCCTTGCCGCGGCCGCAGTCGCAGCCCCGGCTCCCGTTTCCGCAGCGCCGCCGCCTCCCGCACACCCCGGCCCGCCCGCCGCCGCCGCCGGCGCCATCAGGGCTGTCCCCCCCGCTGCCCTAGTGCCGTAATCCACGCATGCGCAGTTGCTACAACCCCCGTACCAGCGATATCACTCCGCGCCGACTCATCCAACCACAGCGCCGCTTCCGGGATCAGCCGCACGCATGCGCAGTTCTATTTGCACGGCGCGCCGCCGCCACCCCGCACTGCTTTGGCCGCCGCTTTGGTACAGCGTGGTCCCGGTTCCGAGCCGCTGCGTGCCGCTGTCCGGACACAGCCGGCATCCCTGTGCGCTGGAACGGGGCTTCCGCCGCCACCGGGTCCGTACAGGGCACCAGAGCAGGCGAAAACTGCAGCGCCGTGCGTGTATCCTTCCGCGTCTCTCGCTCTGCCGGACCTCTCTTGGCCGCATCGCCGAGAGATTCCCCCCCCCCTCCCCCCCCTCCTCCCCCCCCCCTCCGCAGCGCGCGACCCTGCACAACCGACACCTGATATCCCTCCGCGTTTTCGCCTTCCGCTCTCCTAGCACCGAGTGGGACTACTTTGTGTCACGATTCGTCCGCACAGACGCATCCGTGCACACAAACCGGGCAACGAGGAGGGGGAGGCTGGAATATGACAGACCTGAGGGGAAAAACAAGGAATTCCCGAGGAGAAAACATGGAATTCCTGAGGGGGGAAGTGCAGGATTCCTGAGGGGCAAAATGTGGGAATTCCTGAGGGGGAAATGTGGGAATTCCTAAGGGGAAAAATGTTGGAATTCCTGAGGGGGAAATGTGGGAATTCCTAAGGGGGAAAATGTTGGAATTCCTGAGGGGGAAATGAGGGAATTCCTAAGGGGGAAAATGTTGGAATTCCTGAGGGGGAACCCAAACCCTTCCCAGAGCTCCCAGCATAGGCTCAGGACTGACAGCCACAAGACCAACCCCTAAATCCCGAGTTTTCACCCCTAAATCCCGAATTTTCACCCCTAAATCCTCTCTTTGTCCCTGCAGGTGACGGAGATCGGGAAGGACGTGCTGGGGCTGCGCATCAGCCCCCTCCAGTTCCGCTAGGAATTCTCCTGGAGAAGGAAATTCCCAGTCCCCCACCCCAGCTTTCCCCCCACTCCCTCCCCTTGGCCATTCCCATCCTCTCTTCCCGGTTTTTCCCCACTCTGGAATGCCAGATTGGGGTTTTTTTCCCCCACATTTAGCAGGATTTTTTTTTCCTTGTTCCCAAGCGGTTTTCCTGTGCTTTTATCCCAGTTTTTTTCCAGAGGGGGAAGGGGGGGCCTCTTCCCAAATCCTGGTTGTGACACAACCACCTCTGCTCCCCTTAAAATCCTAAAAAATTGCTCAAAAAAAACTGGGATTGGCTCTGTAAATCCCGAATCCAGGGAAATCCTGCTCCCTCTGGAAGTGTCTCTGTGTTTGTTGATTCCTCCTGTTGTCGCCATGGCAACTCAGTGAGCTTCCCATTGTTAATAAAGTTCATTAATGACCTGGATTTTCCTGATCTGCAGCTCAGGACACACCAAAAAAAAAAAAAAATGGAATTTAATCCCTTTTCCCACCTGTGCTTGGAGAGCTGAGAATTTTCCAGAGGACGGGATCGGCTCTCCTGGGAAGATTCGGAGCTCTGTGTGTTAATTAGTGGGGTGCAATTACCACCCCAATTAACCCTGAGGGCCATTCCTTCATTTCCAGGTGGAGTTCTCTCCTTTGGCACTCCTGGTTTTGGCCCCAGGGCACGGAAAAGGCTCCGGGATTCCCAAATTTGGGTGGATTCCGATCCTTGCAGGGGAGAGAGGGATGGGAATGACAATCCAGGGATGCGATTCCAGGGATTGTCCTGCTGGGAATGTCCAGGGTGTGGAAGGAGGGGCTGGAAGTGTCCAGGGAATGGGGCTGGAAAAGGGAATGGAGAATCCTGAGGCGGCTCAGCCTGGAGAAAAGGGGGATCCAGGGGGGGTTTGGGATCTGATCCCAGGGAACTGGGCAGGACAAGAGGGAACGGCCTTGAGCTGTGCCAGGGCTGGAAATTTGGGATGGTTTTTCCATGGAAAAAGGGTTGGGAAGCACCGGAAGGGGCTCAGGGAGGTCCCAGCTTGGATCCCCATCCCTTCAGGGAATCCCTGGAATTTTGAGCAGGTGAGGATCACTTTGGGATTCTTCCCCCCCCCCCCCGCCCCTTCACAGATCCCAGAACCCCTCGGGGTCTTCAACGTTTTCAAACTTTTATTTATCCATAAAAAAGCAGGGGGAGGGGGGTGAAAAAGGGAATGCTCGCATTCCCTCACTTCCAGCATTCCATGGGGAATTCCGGGGGGGATCTGGGCTGGAGCCGGAGCCTCTGGGTTCAGGGTTTGGGGGATTTGAGGATCAGGGAGTCGTGGCAGGCCACGGCGATGCCCCCGATGAGGTTCAGGAACTCCTGGAAGTCCAACTGCCCGTCGCTGTTCATGTCCAGCTTCTTCATCATCCTGTCCACCACGCCCGGGTCCTTCTGGTTCTGGGGAAAAAAACCCCAAAAAAATGGGAATTTGTGCCTGGAATGAGGGGGGGAATTCCCTGCCCAGGAAGGGAGGGGAGCTCAGGGAATTCTGGAGTGGTTTGGGATGGAGAATCCACCTTGAACAGCCACGTTCAGGGACATTCCCACAATCCCATCCTGCTTCCAATCCCATCCTGGCACAGCCCCAGGGCTGGGACCCCCTGGATCATCCCATTGATCCCATCCCATCGATCCCTGTCCCATTCCATTGATCCCATTCTTCCCATGGATCCCATCTCATTGGTCCCATCCCAACCCGCTGATCCCATCCCAGTCCCATGGATCCCATCCCATTCCATTGATTCCATTCCATTGATCCTATCCCCACCCCACTCCATGGATCCCATTGATCCCACTCCACCCCATCCCATGGATCCCATCGATCCCATCCCATCACTCCCATCCCAATCCCATGGATTGCATTGATCCCATCCCATCAATCCCCTCCTACCCCACAGATCCCATGGATCACATTGATCCCATGAATCCCACCCCATCAATCCCATCCCAATCCCATGGATCGCACTGATCCCATCCCACCCCATCAATCCCATCCCAATCCCATGGATCACACTGATCCCATCCCATCCCACGGATCCCATCCCAATCCCATGGATCCCACCCCATGGATCCCATCCCGTGGATCCCAGGCCCCCCCATTCCCGCACCTTGGTGAAGGCGGCCAGCTCGGTGTCCATGAAGGCGCGGAATTCCCGCTTGGAGAGGGTGCAGGAGTCGCCCTCGCGGCCGGCGTAGCGCTGGAACACGGCCAGCAGCGACTCGATGCAGCGCTCCGTCTCTGTGGGCTGGGCGGCCAAAATCCCGGGATTTGGGGTCAGGGCAGGGCAGGGGAGCCCCCTCTGCCCGTCCCGGGTGTGCCGGGGGCAATCCTGGGGTTTTTGGGAGCAGGGAGAGGCCCCCTCTGCCCATTCCAGGAGCAGTCGTGGTTTTTTGGGGATGAGGGAGGGCCTGGAGGAGCCTCCCGTGCCTATTTCAGGTTTTCCAGGGAGAAATCCCAGGTTTTTTTGGGGAGCAGGGAGAGGCTGGAGGAGCCTCCTGTGCCCATTCCAGGAGCGATTCCAGGATTTTTGGGAGCAGGGAGAGGCCCCCTCTGCCCATTCCAGGAGCAATCGCGACTTTTTTGGGATGAGGGAAGGGCTGGAGGAGCCTCCTCTGCCCATTCCAGGCGTGCCAAGGAGCAATCCCGAGTTTTTTGGGGAGCAGGGAAGCCCCTCCTGTGCCCGCTCCAGCTTTTCCAAGAGCAATCCCGGCTTTTTCGGGCTGCGGGAAGGGCTCAGCCGGACCCGTCCCGCCGCATTTTTCCCTGGATTTCGCTCCCTGGCGCAGCGGGACGGGCCCGGAGCGGGAGCGGCTCCTGGAAAATGCCCTGGGGAGGTGGCGGATCCGTGCGAAGGGCCGGGCTGGATCCACTCTTTCCCCGATTCCCCCCCATTTCTCCCTACCCCACCCCGAGTTTTCCTTGTTTTTCACCCATTTCCCCCGGTTTTTGCCCATTTCCCCTGGTTTTTACCCCTTTTTCTGTTTTTCTCTGTTTTTCCCTGTTTTCCCCCAGTTTTTTCCTGTTTTACTCTACTTTTTCTCATTTTCCTTCCGGTTTCTGCCCTGGTTTTCCCCCCATTTTCCACCCGTTTTTTACCTGTTTCTCCCACCCTGTTTTCCCCCTATTTCCCCCCCATTTTTCCGTTTCTTCCCCCTATTCCTTCCTCCCCTTGGGACCACGCCCTATTCCCTCCCACTCCGATTTTGGGGCGTTTTGCCGGAAAATCTCCATTTTCCGCCGCTCGGGATCCATCTGCCCCCCAAATTCCCGGGAATTCCTCACCATGGCTGGGACAGGCGGCGGCTCCGCTCCGGTTTTTGGAGTTGTAGGATCGGGAGAAAAAGCTCGGGGAAAGTTCGGGAGCCCCGCCCGGGCTGAGTCAGCCCCGGACGCGTTGGGCAATTCCCGTTTCCAGCGCAACCGCGGCTCCTCCCGCGCCCCTGGAATGTGCCCGGCCCGGTCCGGGGCTTTGCGGGCATTCCCGAATCCGGCTCCATCCCCGTTTGCTCCTTGGGATATCCCTGGAGTCGTCCTCGGGCATGGGAGCGGGGAGAAAATCCTAAAGATCTTAACGGGGAGGTTGGGGGAAACGGGGGGAAATTTCCTTAAAAATCTTCTGGGAGAGACTGGAAAAGGGAAAATCCCAAAATATTCAGGGGGAGGCTGGAAAAGGAAAAAGGGAAAAATTCCCAAAAATCTTCTGGGAGAGCCTGGAGCAGAGAGGGGTTAAAAACCAGGGATCAGGATGAGTTTTGGGATCCCGGGAATTCTGATCTGGGACTCGGGAGATTTTCCCTTTCCCCTCAATTTCCTGCCCCCGAACTCCCATTTTTTTCCCGAATTTTGGGATTTTCCCCCAATCCGCCTCTCCCAAAGGGAATTTTCCCGAGCTGGGATTTCCCTTTGGGGTTTCCCTCGCGCTCAGAACCCCCCGGTGACATCGCGGGGGGAAGGGGAGGTGACATTTCCCTGTGCCAGGGCCAATCCCGGGCATCTGGCACATTCCGGTCCCGGAGGCTGTGGGAGGGAGACGCCGCCATCTGTGCGGCCACATGGCTGTGCCACTGTCCCTGGCATTGTCACCAAGGGCTGACAGCTGTGGCACTGTCCCTGGCATTGTCACCGAGCTGTGGCACCGTCCCTGGCATTGTCACCAAGGGCTGACAGCTGTGGCACTGTCCCTGGCATTGTCACCGAGCTGTGGCACCGTCCCTGGCATTGTCACCAAGGGCTGACAGCTGTGGCACTGTCCCTGGCATTGTCACCGAGCTGTGGCACTGTCCCTGGCACTGCCACCAAGGGCTGACAGCTGTGGCACTGTCCCTGGCACTGCCACCAAGCTGTGTCACTGTCCCTGGCATTGTCACCCAGTCCTGCCACTGTCACTGTCCCTGGCACTGCCACCAAGGGCTGACAGCTGTGGCACTGTCCCTGGCATTGTCACCGAGCTGTGGCACTGTCCCTGGCATTGTCACCCAGCCCTGCCACTGTTCCTGTCCCTGGCACTGTCCCTGGCACTGCCACCAAGGGCTGACAGCTGTGTCACTGTCCCTGCCATTGCCACCGAGCTGTGTCCCTGTCCCTGTCCCCATCACTGAGCCCTGCCAGTGTCACAGTGCTGTGTTCCTCTTCCTGTTCCTGTCCCTGGCATTGTCACCAAGCTGTGTCCCTGCCCCTGGCATTGTCACCGAGCCCTGCCAGTGTCACTGTTCCTGTTCCTGTCCCTGTCCTGTCCCTGTCCCCATCACTCAGGGTCAGTGCAGGGACGGAGCCTTGGGAGAGCCCCTGGCTCCAGCCTGGAGTGGGAATTGGGAATGGGAATTGGGGATTGGGTGGGATTTGGGGTCAGGAGGAGTTTGGGGACTGAAGTGGGAATGTCTGACCCAAACTGGGAATGCCTGATCCCAACTGGGAATGCCTGATCCCAGCCCTCCCAGCCCTCCCAGCCCTCTGGAAGGTGACGCTCGGAGCCTCTGCAGGAATCAGCCGTTTATTCCCATTTTCCATGCGATAAAAAGGAAGGAAAAGGAAAAGGAGGAGAAGGAGAATCCCCCACCCACCACCAGCACCCTGTGGCTCCAAACCCCTGGGCCTGGAGCTGGAATTCTGCTGGAATCGAGGCTAAAAAGGTGATTTTTTTCCCCCCCCCCCAGCCTTTAGGATTTCCAGGCCCCAAAATCAGGAATTTTTTTGGAGTTTAACGGCAGAAGCCAAGAGCAGCCCCAGCCCCAGGGCTGAGGGGAACCTGAAGTGACACCCCAGGGTGCAAAAGAGGACAGAGGCACCCAAGGACTCCAATTAGGGCAGAAAAAGTGATTAAATATCGAGGGACACACCCAGCAGGGAAGCAGAAACTCCGGATCCGGGGGGATCTCACTTCCTGCTGAGGATTCATTCCAGGGAAAAGCCCCCAGACCCCACTGGACACCCCAGGATCCTTTTGAGTCCATCACTGCTGGGCCACCACATCCTGAGGGGCAGAAGTGATCCTCAAAAGGACCTGGAGAGGCTCCGGGGAGAGGCAGATCCCCCTCAGGACGTCTTGGATTCATCCCTGGGGCGGCTCGGGGCCTCCTGCGGGGGCTCCTGGCCCTGCTTGGTGCCACCGTCCCGAGAAACCCGGGAATTTTCGGGTTCCCGGGGGCTCCTCTTGCTGGGTTCCTCCTCAGGAGCCTCCTCGCCCTCCTGGGTTCCCTCCCTGAGGGTCTCTCCGGGCTCTCTCCTCTCCGGATCCCGGCGTTCCGGGGGGATGCAGCTCTTGGCCTCGCCGTCCTCGCGCTCTCGCCGGGGGCAGCCGGATCCGGGCTCCCGCGGGACCTTCTGGGGCCCCTCGCCCTGGGGCTGGCCCTGCTCCACCTCAGGGACCTCGGGGCGCCTCCGGAGCTCCTTGGATTTCACCGGCTCGCCCTTCACAGCCTCCGGCTCGCCGGAATCCCGCGGGGCTCCGTCCTTCGCCTCTTTTCCGCATCTTTCCCGGGGCTCATCCACACCCTCGTCGGGCTTTTCCTGGGGGCATTGGGATGGCGGCACCTCGGGGTGGCCCCTGAGGGGGTCACTCGGTGGCTGCGGGGACGCGGGGCAGGTCCGGACGCGCACGGGCCGGCCCCGCTGGCCGGGCTGGTGGCACACGATCTCGTAGGTGGCGGCCTCGGGGTCCTGCAGGTTCTGGATGACGTGCACCAAGTAGGCCACGGTCTGGGGCTCCAGGGGCTCGGGCAGCAGCCGCACCTCGGGCCGGACATCGGGGTCAGCGGGGCGGTACCGGACCCTGAGGTCACTGACGGGCGCCTCCTGTCCCGGGGGGCAGAGATCAACGGTGTCCACGTCCAGGGTCTGGTACCGGCACCGGCCCTGCTCCAGCTCCTCCTCCTCATCTTCTTCCTCCACGACCTCCAGCCTGATCTCCTCCCTCTGGTCAGTGATGGTCACTTCTGCCTCCCTGTCCCGTGCTCGGCGGCTGCGGCGCTCAGACACCTCCAGCTCCCGTTCCTGGTCGATTCTCCTCTCCCTCAGGGCCTCTCCCCTCTCCCTGACCCGGGAGATTCTCCTCTCTGGCTCTGCTTCCTCCTCACGCTCACAGGGACGCTCTCTCCTCCTCAGCCCCTCACCTCGTTCCCGGATCTCACGGCGCACTTTGACATCGGCTTCTGCTGCTGCCACTGAGATCTCTCTGTCCCTTTCAAACCTCGCTGATTCTCTCTGTCTCCTTCCATCAGCTTCAATCTCACGGATGTCTCGCTCTCGTCTGTCCCGTGTCTCTCTCCGGCCAACTCTGGTCACTTCTTCCTCCCTTTCTCGTGCGCGGCACTCAGAGCCCTTCACCTCCAGCTCCCGTTCCTGGTCGATTCTCCTCTCCCTCAGGGTCTCCTCTCTTTCTCTGACCCGGGAGATTCTCCTCTCTGGCTCTGCTTCCTCCTCACGCTCACAGGGACACTCTCTCCTCCTCAGCCCCTCACCTCGTTCTTGGATCTCACGGCGCACTTTGACATCGGCTTCAGCTGCTGCCACTGAGATCTCTCTGTCCCTTTCAAACCTCGCTGATTCTCTCTGTCTCCTCCCATCAGCTTCAATCTCACGGATGCCTCGCTCTCTTCTGTCCCGTGTCTCTCTCCGGCCAACTCTGGTCACTTCTTCCTCCCTTTCCCTTGCCCGCCACTCAGAGCCCTTCACCTCCAGCTCCCGTTCCTGGTCGATTCTCCTCTCCCTCAGGGCCTCTCCCCTCTCTCTGACCCGGGAGATTCTCCTCTCTGGCTCTGCTTCCTCCTCACGCTCACAGGGACGCTCTCTCCTCCTCAGCTCCTCTCGTGGTTCCCGGATCTCACGGCGCACTTTGACATCGGCTTCTGCTGCTGCCACTGAGATCTCTCTGTCCCTCTCGTACCTCAGGGTTTCTCTCTGTCTCCTTCCATCAGCTTCAATCTCACGGATGTCTCGCTCTCGTCTGTCCCGTGTCTCTCTCTGGCCAACTCTGGTCACTTCTTCCCTCCTTTCCCTTGCCTGCTGCTCAGAGCCCTTCACCTCCAGCTCCCGTTCCTGGTCGATTCTCCTCTCCCTCAGGGTCTCCTCTCTTTCTCTTCTGGGGCAAATTCTTCTGTCTTCTCCACCCTCACGGGGACAATCCCTCCTTCTCAGCTCCTCACCTCGTTCCTGGATCTCACGGCGCACTTTGACATCAACTTCAGCTGCTGCCACTGAGATCTCTCTGTCCCTCTCGTACCTCAAGGTTTCTCTCTGTCTCCTCCCATCATCTTCAATCTCACGAATTTCACGCTCACGTCTGTCCCGTGTCTCTCTCTGGCCAATGGCAGCCACTTCTTCCCTTTCTCGTGCCCGGCGCTCAGACACCTCCAGCTCCCGTTCCTGGTCGATTCTCCTCTCCCTCAGGGCCTCTTCCCTCTCCCTGACCCGGGAGATTCTCCTCTCTGGCTCTGCTTCCTCCTCAGGCTCACAGGGATGCTCTCTCCTCCTCAGTTCCTCTCGTGGTTCCCCTTCCCGGATCTCACGGCGCACTTTGACATCGGCTTCAGCTGCTGCCACTGAGATCTCTCTGTCCCTTTCAAACCTCGCTGATTCTCTCTGTCTCCTCCCATCAGCTTCAATCTCACGGATGCCTCGCTCTCTTCTGTCCCGTGTCTCTCTCCGGCCAACTCTGGTCACTTCTTCCTCCCTTTCCCTTGCCCGCCACTCAGAGCCCTTCACCTCCAGCTCCCGTTCCTGGTCGATTCTCCTCTCCCTCAGGGCCTCTTCCCTCTCCCTGACCCGGGAGATTCTCCTCTCTGGCTCTGCTTCCTCCTCACGCTCACAGGGACACTCTCTCCTCCTCAGCCTCTCACCTCGTTCCTGGATCTCACGGCGCACTTTGACATCGGCTTCAGCTGCTGCCA